TAACTCATCTCACAAAACCGGTTCAGTAAGAGAGGTTTGCCACATTGTTTATAAGCTGGCCCAAGACAGTGTCCACAGGCGATGTGAGATTTATTTTCAACAAAATGTGTGGTTAAAAAGTTAATAAAAGTTGTGAATCTCATAAAATATGTGATTTAAAATGAATTTGGGTAAAAATGAAGTCCAAACAGGGGCATGCTCTGTGGTTTCTATCTTTTGAGATGGGCCTTGCTTGCCTTACCTAGTTAGGTCTGTTCGATCATGTTGAGTCGCTCTGAATGAATATTATTTAGAAGAATCAAATACAATTTGCTCAATATTCTTGGATTTTGCATTAATATAAAGTTCAAGAACTAGCGATAATGCAACCCACATTAAAACACGTGATTTCGAAATTAGACAAGAGCTCAACATTTTCACTCTAATTTCTTCAATCTTATATTGAATTGAAATCCATGGGTCCCAAATCAATTGCCCAAGACAAGATGCACGAATAAAATGACTAATAGTCTAGCGTGCAAAGCTCCTCATTGTTGACCGGGGGTGCGTTCCCACTCGACAACTAGCGGGTTTGGTTGACTCCACCGACCCATTTCGCGTCAATTGATTTATTTCACCAACAACCATTTTTACACCAGTAATTTATTCTAATTATTAATTACATTAGTCGATGAACCGGTTTACAACATTACTCACATTAATCTTTATACGCAAATCCATAAATAAGTGATAATCCCAACTTAATTTACACTACCATTCTGTTTGACTTTCATATTAGTTTGAGTAACGCAAAACATCGGTGAAAATTTTATACCCTTGGGGTCCATCTACGAAGTTCGTTCACATGGTGAGTTAGGGATTGATATCAGATCGAGATATGTAGTCAATAAATAAAACGTGAATATTTATGTAATACTCCTTATTGGTAATAGAGAAGGCTAGATTAATCAAAAGATGGTTATAGATTCAAGAACGCAAGCTTCCCTTAGTTTTAAGGATAAGAAGGGGTAGAGAATGTCTTTAAGAGTCCTTATTCTAATAACTGAATTATAAGTAATTATTTTACTGTATATTAGCCAAACACATTTCTCTGTCTCTCGCTCTATATATATAGCCGTCAGCATTCTCTTTCTGCGATCCAGTTTTGAAGACTACTGTCAACCCTCTTTCATCAGTTAACCCGAAACTACAAATGGGCAAAGCATCTAAATGGTTCCTAGGTCTAATAGGATTCAAGAAACCTGACCCGGACCACAAACCAACCAAGAAGAAATGGACCTTCGTCAAATCCTCCAAAGACAAAGATCACTCTCAGATATTGACACCGGAAAAATCCCAACATGGCGTCGTTCCGTTGAATCCCAGTGGCGAAACTGAGAGTGACGCCAGTAAGCACGCCATTGCCGTGGCGGAGGCCACTGCTGCTGTGGCGGAGGCTGCCGTTGCGGCCGCTCAGGCAGCCGCCGCGGTGGTTGAGCTTACCAGCAGTGGTAGCACTACTGATTCTGCAGTCAGTGGATGCGTGAACATGTCGGCGCGTGTTAGCCAAATGGCAGCCGGTTATGGGAATCGTGAGGACTTGGCCGCCGTTATGATCCAGTCCCATTTCCGAGCGTATCTGGTTTGACCCTCTCTCTCTCTCTCCCCCACTCCAATATATTCAAACACAAATATACTTGGATATATATTACTTCTCTAGCTGTATCTATATTTCGTGGATCGCAGTAGCTATTTGTTTCTCAGTCTGGGCAGCAAGACTCGGATAAGGATAATCACTCATTCTTATAATTTGTGTTCTTAGTATAGTCGGATAGATGGGAGAGACGCTTTCTCTTCCCAGTTCGCCTACAGCTGAATGTCGGAAAACCAGTATCCAAGGGCAATATTGTCCTTTCACTCCATGGTGAGTGGTAACTTGTACGTCTGGAAAGTATGTTGGATCCATAGAAAGAATGTTGAAAGCATATCTAAGAGACTTTGTATCTATATCCATGTTTTGCCCTATTTTTTAAAAATCATTCTTCCTCAAATTCATTTTCTATTACACATTTTGTCGAAATCACGACTTTTATCAACTTTTCAATATATATTTCACCATTTTTTTAATCAAAATTTACTAAATTTTTTTTTATCCAAAGGAAATAGGGGAATAATGTTTGACAAGTAGCATTATTCAATATCGAGTACTTTATAGTAAATATATGAAATATTAAAGTGCTAAAAAAAGAAGTTAAAATCTAACGTCTAGTTCTATCGACTTGGAACGTGCAAAGTTCTTGCGTACTTGTATTGATTAGTGATTATTAATGCTCTTATGTATTGGCACATATACGTAAATACGTATTTTGTGTACATGTACATATACACACGACACGAGTATATCGTGCAGAGAGAGATGATGTTAGGTGGGTCAAAAGGTAGGTTGAAGCCGTGTGGACTAGCAAAAATCTAGTACTTTTTAATTTTTTCATGCAGCTCTAGAATAATATCTGAACATGTAACTCTTGAAAATCACGTAAATTTATTAATTTTTGTTTCTTTGTATTGTGAGTTTTGTTTTGTTCCTTTAAAAATGCCATTTGTTTCTTTTGCCAGACGGGCAGTGTCAGGGTCGGTGCAATTTTTTTCCCCCTGATTTTGTACCTTTTTAATGTGTACTTAACACTGTTTTTAATGTTAAGAGTTGCACAGATTTGGTAAACAGTTCACTTTTTTAGCTGTTTGCCCAGTTGAGCTGTACCAATCTACTAGATGTGTGTAGGCACGTCTCGATTTTGCGGTGGTATGTGGCCGCAGCTTGTCGAAAAGCCCAAGCCAAGCTGGCCGGACTTGAGCAACTGGATATATTTTGACACCTCTAGGAGAGTAACTTGCCTGTGAACATTTCAACTTCAGGAGGATTAGTATGCCATTTTGGATAAAGAGTTTATTCAGAGCTTTTGAGATACTTTTATTTACTTTACTGAGGGCTGGACAGATGTCCTTTTCTTCTTAAATGTCACACTTCCACTTTTTGGAAGACTGCAAAGTGGAAATCAAGTTTTTAGGGCACATGACCTGCAAAACTTGTCACGGTTATTCGTGCATTGCCCATGGTACAAAACTTTTAGACAAGCTGGTTCAACATAGTATTAGATCAAATAAAAAGGCTTGAGTTCATATCTTACAGCTACCTATGTATGAGAATTGAGATACGTCAACCTTTGAAGAAGATGAAATTTAAATATATTACTTTTTCTCCCTATATCGCGATTACATTGTGCGAATTGAAACTAATACTCTCCTGCTCGTTTTCTTGCTCTCTCCTGACAATTTTCTTTGGCGGGTAATTTGTAGTCGAGAAAAGCTTTACGTGCACTGAGAGCATTAGTCAAGCTGCAAGCACTGGCAAGAGGACACCTCGTGAGGAAACGCACTGCAGATATTCTGCGACGAATGCAGGCATTGTTAAGAGCTCAAGCAAGAGCTCGGATGGGCCGGGCCACGATTTCTAAATCTCCACTTTCAAGCATGAAGTCCCCTCAAACCAATCATCCAGTAAGCAGAACCATAGGTTCTCACCCTGGTTATCTTAGTCCTCATAAAGAAGTAAATGTAGTATCTTACTTTATGCTTTTTGTTGACAATTCCTCATGTTTTGCTAAGCTTAGAAACTTATAAGTAATGTAAGTTACTTATTTTGAGAGCATGGTATGAGATGCTCAGTGAAAAGTAACTACTTTGAACATGTTTGAAAACAAAAATAGTTCCTTATTTTTAAGCTTAGCCTAACATGTTGGAGATTTATGTTTCTACTTTTCTGTTTTCCCCGAGCAAGCACAATGCTATATACATTAGAACTTTAGCTTGTAGCAAATATTTAGCTTCTTCCTTCTGCTATTTGAACTAAAATTAACTGGGGCTGAATGTGGTAACTTGAATTTGAACTCATAGGGACCTGCAACTCCGGAGAAATTTGAACATGTTATTCGAGCTAGGAGTATGAAGAACGAACAGTTGATACTGAAGGTAAGTTCTCAATCATTTTCTTGCTCATCTTTATGGATGCAAAGTGCCTAAGAATGCTCTCATGCTAAATGCAGAGGAACGATCTGAACTCAAATGGCAAGTTCCTCATCAATAAAGGATATTCGACAAGAACTGGTCGATTTGATGATGAAAGGAGCGACAAGATACTTGATGTAGACAACGAGAAGCCATATATAACGCCCAAACATAGAAACCTCTTTCACTCATCTCATCTTAGCATTGGGTCGGACCAAATCTGTCATAGCTTTTCTACATCAAAGGACTCTATATCCCGTCTAAATCCATCTTACAGTGAAGTTCAATCCCCTCTGAAGTTTACGCTTAATGTTGATGAAACCTCATTGGATGCTGCTGACAACAGAGGACCATTTACGCCTACTAAGAGCGATGAATCGAGAAGCTGTTTAAGTGGATACTCTGACCTTCCTAACTACATGGCTTACACTGAATCGTCAAAATTTAAGGTAAGATCTCTAAGTGCCCCAAAACAAAGGCCTCAATACGAGAGATCAAGCTCGACTAAAAGATATTCGATTCATGGGTATGATGAATCAAGAACAAATATTCAGAGGGTTTCTGCATTGCATACAAACTTCACAAGCAAAGCTTATCCTGGGTCTGGTCGTTTGGACAGACTCGGAATGCCCGCTAGAGGAGATTTCCAGAGTTTCAATGGAGGTCATTGGAACAGATATAGCATGTAACCTGATTATTGGGTTTTCTGCTTTGTTATTAACAAACCATACGCTTAAAAATATGGCTAGGTGTAGTGTGTCGAATTCCTAAGGTAATAACCGTTTGTTCACCTGTTTAAGAATGTATTTTGACTGGATGTTAGCAATTATGCAATTGCATTTGGTCAATGGAACTCAAAAGAGATGACTTCTAATTTTGTAATGCTGAACGCGATATTCTGTTTACCTTCTATTCTGCATTTTTTTTTTCTGTATGTGTTTATTCTATATGGACAGTATAAGTGAGAGATTAGCCTCAAATACATATTAATTACTGAAGAATACAAGGAACGCAGCAGAATACATTCCTTGAAGAAGCTTTACGCCTTTACCATCTGATCCGCATTATCTACCTCAATTTGTTTACCAAAAAAATATTTCCTGGGGCTTCTAATGAATTTCATTTTTAGTTCATCAGTTGTAAATAGTCAAAGAAAGTAGATATGCTATTTCTCAAAAATGCTCAAGAAAAAGAAACATGGCATGTAGCCAACCAATCCGTACAAAACTAATGGAGTTGAAATTCAGTAATTTGATATCATTCATAAACAAGCAACGACAAAATTTAAGAGAGAAAAAATACTATCGTTTGCCACCAGCACCTCCAAGCTTAGGACCCTTAGGTAAAGCTCCCTTGGGCACATTACTCTTGCTTTTCTGTGCCTTGGACATCACTTCTGCCTTCTTTGCCTTCTTCTCATCCTTGGTTTTCTTGATTCTCTCCTTGATTTCACTAACAAGAACAAATACCCACAAGTCATGTTTAGTTCAAATTGCAATTCTTAAAGAACGCTACACTATACATCATCAAAGATTTGAACCCCTAATAATATACCGTAAAGCAGCTTCACGTGCAGCATCTCGGACCTCTGGCTTCTCAGCTCTCCTCTTCTGAATAACTTCCAATGTGGCACCAACGATTGACCTCGAGTAGGGCTTTTTGGTTGTTCGACGCCTCTTCCTCACAGTTTCAGCAGCAATGTCCTGTGAACCAGTAATTAGGGCCATTTCATAAGATTTAAGATCTTCGAAAGAAAATCGATTCACCTCAGCAAGAAAAAAAAAAAGGCCAAAAGTGGTAGAAGTAAAAGCAATTGTACTAGCATATTTCACCTTCTTATGTTGTTTGCGGTACACAGCAGTCCATGTAAGCTTTGCAGGCCTCAGGCGGTTATGGAAATACCTCTTGCATTTCGAGTTGGCAAAGAGGAAGACCTTTAGCAAGAAAAAAGGAACAGTTTCTTTAGTGTATCAAAGAATGGTGAAATAGAGCTTTGCAAAATGAAACTAAATTATCTAAGAATGACCATGCAAAAAGACGGCAAAAGCATTGTGATATAATGGAATTTTATAGCCACCCACATCTTAACCTACCTGGGAGTCTGAGCGAATAAATCTAATACCCTTTCCAGGGTATATCTTGGCACCACTAAAGCGGCAAAGCTCTGTCCTGGTAACCAAAGATTAAATAATATAAAAGTCACAAACCAAGCAACATCACGTGACAATATATAGCAGGCAATTTAGCAACTTGTAGCACTTTGGGGTCTCAAGGATAAAATTCCTGAAAAAGTATTATTTTTATCCCTAAAACAAAAGAACATAAAGCTAAATTATTAACACATCTATAGACTATAGGTAAAACATTAGAACACTCTCACACCAATCTCGAGACGATAAGGTTGAGGATAGATGGAAAAGGATATATCCTTGTTTTTTTTTACGAAGCGATTGAATCCATTATAATTCAACTAATACTTCGAATAACAGCAAAATGATAAACTATTCAAGCACAAGATATATCACAAAATAGCTTCAGAATCAGCCATAACTGTTCTATGTTCTACATTTGTTTTTTGTTTTTTTAAAAACTTAGCAACTGTTGATTTATGGACCAAACAAAAAAGCATTGTAATCTTATGATTTCCATAAACATGCACTAACAGGCTCAAGCGACTACTAAAGAGTGCAAGAAAAAAGATAACTTTGGCATAAAAGGAAAATTACAAAGTATTGCTGACCCTACTCCAACACTCTCATCGATTGGTGATTCTCTACAATTATCTTAAAGGTATAGGCAGAATAATATCATGATGCAATACCATCTGCTATTCCGTGAAATTACTTGAGATAATACCAATTTGCTATTTTGTCTGTTTCATTCCATATACAATCCTAGATTCTTTAATTTGATTCCTATCGACTTAGTTGATATCACTAATTCGAATTGCAAGTTTAACAGAAGTGCATTTGCCCAAACTAGGAACGCAGAAAATTTTGGTTTATATAAGAAAATACAGAATCAGCAGAAGAGGACCACTCTCCACTGGGTCTAGATTCACAGTACATAGTTTCAACCATGCCCCCCAAAGCCCATGAGCAAGGAAGGAATCATTCAATAAATCTCAATCCACATTTTCTTCAGGCAAACAGTTAATTTCCATTGAAACATCAGTGCAAATACTGCAACCAACATGGGAAAAACTCTAAAAGAAACGAAATGTATAAAGAACAATAATGATATTTTTTTCTTCTCAAAATTGCATTGGTTGATTTTAAAAGAATTAAACTGAAACTGTGTCCAATACATTATTTGATTAATTTTTGTTCACACATTAATTCAAAACTGTGTGCAATAAACCCGCAACTATCTCCAATCGATTTCTTGATTAATTTCCGTTCAAACATAAACTGTAAGCCAAAAAAAAAAAAAAACTACAACTAGAAAAAAAAATTACTGCAACAACGGCAACATTTTCATCACAGATTTTCATTTTACAGATTTCAAAAGAATTGAATCCCAATTGTCTCAAAGCCATTTTTTCCCAGCTAGATCCCACAATAGTAAAATGATTCTTCAAACATCAGAAAAAATCCATAAAATCCTAGCAAATCAAGATGTGAATACATGCATTATTGATGATTTAGAGAGAAGAAGGAATTTACTTGAGGACCATTGTTGCTGCAGCTAACTAACAGAAACCCTAACCCTAAACGAGCAATAATACAAACTTGTATTGAATGGGCCTCATTTTGCTGGTGGGCCTGTTATTTGATAGGATAGGAAAATTAGCTAACATCAAGCGTAAGTTGTGAGTTTTTAAAATTCAGGTTTAAAGTTTATCTATACAAAAATCATTATTTTATTTTATATATAAAATCCTAGATCTATCCAAACCCTACATTAATCCATTTCATTTCTCTCCACCCTTTCACCCGCCGCCTCACAACGGCGACTCATCCACCACCACCGCCCGTCGCCTCCTCCTCCCCTTTTCTCTCCTCACCTCCCTTCTCCCTCCTCCATTTTCCTCATTGTCGGCGTCGCGAATCCACCACCACCGTCCGTTTCACTCTCTCTCTCTCTCTCTCTCTCTCTCTCCCCCGTCCGTCTTCTCTCTCACTAGTTCTCTCCACCGCCCGTCGCCTCCCCTTCCCTCTCCCTCTCCCTCCTCCCTGAATGTGTAAGATTTCACGCATTTTGGGTGTTGATTTTAGTGTGTGTTGTCTGCTGTGTGTTATTTTAGGTGTTGATTTTAGTTTGTGTTGATTTTAGTGTGTGAGTGTTATCTGCTATTGGGTTCGGCGATTTGTGGTGGTTTTGGATTTTTCTTTATTCTCCGATCTTCTTAGCGGGGTTGGTTTTTGTTGGTAGTGATTTGCACATTGTGATGGTTTTTTGCAAATGCAAATGGTGAGGTGGTGATCATGCTGGTGGTGGTTGTGGCATGATATAAATAGAAATTGAGATGGTTGTCGAGCTATTGGAGGCTGCGTGGTTGGTGTTATTGTTGGTGGATGGTTGTGGTGACGGTGCCGAAGAGTGTCTGTGACCAACTATTTGGTCGGTTTGTGACTAAGTATTGGTGGTGGATGAGGATCGGGGACGAGTGTTTGGGTGTCTGTGACCCACTATACGATTTTATGTGACTAACTATTAAACCGTGACTTTAAAATTCGATAATCTGTGACTAAAAATATAATCTGTGACCAACTAATTTGAAAATATGTGATTTCTGTTGTCTATATTTTTTTAAAACTTGTGACCAATTAAAAATCTGTGACTTATAGTTTTGTTTATTAGTGACTAATAAAGTCAATTGTAACTTATAAATTTTTTGATTTGTGATCTCGAAATAATCTGTGACCAAATAATTTGATAAGCCGTGACTGAAAATTAATTTTTAATTAATTAATAAGATATTTGTGACCAAATTGTATATGACTGTGACCTTAACAATTGCCGGAATCGGAGCAGTCGCCAGCCGCCGGAATGGTCTTCGAAATAGTCGCCGGAGTAGAGTGGCCACCTAAACTGTCGTCGGAGCAATAGGGGTGGTGGAGTTGGGGTGGAGTTGGGTTAATTATATTATATTACAATTAAAATATTTAATTAATTAATAAAAACTTGATTTTTGCAATTTTGAACCTTAGCACCTGATTTTTGATGTTAACAAAGTTAATACCCGATCCATGAATTTTTCCCTTACGTAAATGGAAAAAAAAACATTGAAATCCTAGAATTACTCACAGCTCAACCAAAATATACCAATTTTACTTACTCTTCATAAATCCTCAAAATTAATTAAGATTCCTGAAATAATGCTGTATTCAAAACCAATAGAATTTTAAAAACATTATAAACAAGGCTCGTGAAATTGATGATCGGCCAGAACAAGATAGATTTCACCATTGTTATTGATGAGGCTGAGAGGAAGTGCTAAGGTTTGAGATCAATCATGGCCTAAGCTTTGTCCATGGAAGCCGAAGTCTTGAGCATAAAGGCAACAAGGCATAGGGAAGAAGAGGAAAGGCATCCTCCCGTCTTATTGCATTTTATAATTGCAAGTTGTAGACTGAAGTGTGGTTTTAGGTTTGTTTGACACTTCACCACACCAACTCACGTTTCTTCCTCTTATAAGCATCACAACAGAATTAGGAAATTGCTAATAGGTGCTGTAAAGATTTCTTATATTGAGGTGGACTCACTGCAATGAGAGAGCTGATAAATTTCACTAATCAAAATCTCTTGAACTAATCCTCTTCGGGAGAAGGTCAGAATTTATTTGTTAATCCCGGCATTGTTTTTCATTGCAATACTTGTACGAGAAATGCTATTCATCCCCGCTGGGGATACATCCCCATTCTATGTGACGTTAAATGATAGGTGAAATTAAATAAGTCATTTAATTTCACCTATCATTTACATCCACATAAACTGGGGATGCATCCCCACTGGGGATGGATATCATTTTTCTACTTGTACATATGAAAAGCACAATAATTTGCGTAACTTCATTACATCTTCTATATATATAAAGAGTCTATGAAACATAATTTCTTGTTTTAACGAAAAATCTAACGGATACATTTTAGATATCTTCTATATATAAAAAGTGCCTAAGAAACGGAAATTTTTGTTTTAACGGAAAATCTAACGAAATTGTTATTTTAATGGAAAATCTTTTTTCACCGTTAACTTTATTGTTTCCATTAAATAGCAATTAAACCACCATTTATGGCAATTGATATTGTGTCTGTTAAAATTCAATTGTCTAATAATAAATAAATGCAAAAGACTCTGTACTACTACATGTTTTAATTTTTTTTTACAATTTTTTTTAACCTAAAACCGGTTTATTCAATTCCACCGGTTTTTTATTGTTTATTAATAATTAATAAATATAAATATAATACAAATTTTGAACTATTCATCTTTCAACCCAATAATTGATAGGTCCAGAAAGATTCTAAAGCATTTGTTGGCCCATCTTTTATAGCCATCAGTTCTAATGCTTCAGTTATGAAGTTCCGATATGGGATACATGACACTGAGTTTTTGATTCACAGCACGTTCTAGCTTTCCTTCACACAATTTCTTTTTGATTGCTTCTCTCACAGAGAAATACAAGAACTCTTTCTTTTTCTGCAAACCCTGAAAACCATTATTCCGAAAACTGGAAATTGCTTAAAGCTTTTCTCTTCCAACACCCTGCGAGATCACAGTGAAACAAATCCATCAACCAAAACTGTCATTGCTCGGGAACACCTTTCCATTTGTTAATTCTTCATCCCAGATCACAGGCCAACTCGCTTGAATATGGCGAGGAACTACGTGAGAGACAATATGCCCTTGTCTAGATTCGGCGTGCTGGTGGCGCAGCTGGAATCTACAGTGGCTTCAGCAACCCACAAGCCACCGACCCACTTCTCCTCTTCGACCTCTTATCCGATCTCGTCTCCGCCATTGATGAGGAGCCAAAGGTTACTGTTCCTTTCATTATGATATTTGCATATTGATGTTTCGCATTTGTCGAATTCTAGGAAATATGCTAAGCGATTCAGTTTGAAGGTGTAATTTTTTCGATGAAATCTGGGTAATTGGTTTAATGAATTATTGGTAGCTGCGGGGTGTTTTAATTTGCAAAATAAAGCTGAATTCATTTAGGGATTGAATTTATTCTATTTAATTTATCTGGTTTTAAATTTAAATGATAACTCATAAGAGATGGACTAAGGCAAATCATTGTAGATTGATTTATTTCTGCACTCTGAGCAATTTGTCACCCAGATTAGTTTGAGAATTTTGATTGATAGAAGTTAGTTTATTTATGAACGAGATAAAAAATTGTTAATGTATGTATACATTACAGATGCAATTTGAGCTATAGACGGAATCATTGAGAATGAAATTTGAACTTATA